GCCGGCTTCTCTGCCCCTTATCTTGACGATTCTCATTGTTCACTTCGCTTCCTTCTCACAGCCCCATCCCCACTCCGCACCCGATCTTTCATGCGCGCCAATCTGCAAACGCCAGCATGTCTTTGCCCCCCTTTTTACCGCGTCACGAAAGAGAAAGAGTTTTTTTTTTTTTTTTTTTTTTGGCAGCACGCTCAGATCCAAATGTGTGCGCACACTTCCCCGTTTGTGATTGCCAAGGGTGCTCCATCATTTCACAAAACGTGCTTTGCGCGCCACTCTCCGTCACACATCTCTAGAAATGTTCCCCCCTCCCCGCCGCACAAAGCGACGTGCCACAGCCACGCTCTTGTCAAAGGCATCGAGTTGCACGTGGGCCCGATGCCAGCGCAGAGCTTTGTTTCTCACCAACGACCAAGGCACACGCCGACCAGGCCAATACTAGGAGAATATGGGATTCGCAACGCATTTTCGAGAGCTAGCGGTCAGCGGCGCACCATTCTTCCTCTGCCATGAGCGCGGACGCCTCCGTCCAGACTAGGCTTGACCAGGTCTGATCTGAGCCTCGAGCGGTTGTTCCGTAGCTCTGCTGCCCGCATGTCCAGCCACATCGCCAGCTTGTTCTTGCTCAGCAGTAGGTTTGAGCTCCGAAGACAGTCCATCCGTCCTCACTGCCCAGCCATAACCTCCACCTGGCGCGCCTGGCACATCCCCTGGGCCATCGTAGTGCACTATGAAGCAAAAGATTGGGCAGGGTAAGTGGAGGACGGCAAAGCAACTCGCATCCCCCCACCCACACTCACGCTTGGTCGCGTCGTAATTTGCGATAAACTCCCAGCCATTCTCTCGCACGTGGTACAGATTGATGCTGTTGCCCGAGTAGGCATCTACGTGGCGACAAGAGCAAGAGGGGACAGAGTGAGTTGGATCAACCCACGCCGAGCCCCTCGCACGAGCATACACCGCGCGATATGCGAGCAAGGGAACAAAGATGCTCACCTCTATGAGCAGCAGCGTAGATGCTCCTCCTGCCCAACTCTTGAGCTTCGTCATCCTCCAAATCCCACCTGTATAGCTGATCCAAGACACCGTATGCAAACGTGCTGCCTGACCCTACCGAGAATACGTCTCCCTTCAAACGAGAGCCCTCAGAGTCGACGTAAAAAAGAGCAGGCCCCTGTGTGCGTGCACGAGGATCGCGCATGAAGTCAGTACGATTCAGCTAGAGGCGCACGAGCGGGAATGATGCACTCACCGTCTTATCCCATCCGCAGATCATCGTGCCCATACTCAAACCCATGCCTTTGTAGCCATACACCAGGTTGGACAGGTACTTGGAAGCGGCAGCTACGCTGATCCTCTCCTTGTTCCTCAACTCGTGTAATCTGCACTGAATGCCCAGGTACGTCTCCCAGTACTGACAGTCTGAGTGTGCAAAGGGGTGGTGGGCAACGGGCAAGAGTGGCGCATCAGTCGCGGTGCCTTGCCATCATCTGGGAAGGAACGGCAGCGGAGACTTACCTGCAGCTCCACCGGCCATGGTGCCCAACAAGTAAGGATTGATCTCGATCACCTTCTTGACTGTACCCGATGCGATGTAGCTGGCCAAGTATAGGCAGTACAATGTCGACAGGTCAGCACACTTCGACAAAGATTGGAGTGGGAAGACGAGAGGAAGGGCCAAGACTCACCTACCTGCCGTAGCTCGACTGTCGACAGCTACGATGATGCCTCCCTTGAAGCGGAAGGCGAGCGTGGTGGTACCGTGGTTCAATTTGATTCTAGCTTGAGGATTGGTAGAGTCCACATCGGTATATGCGGACAAGAACCTCGCGGGCTGCAATTGGCCACGCATTCCGAGCTCACATCAGTAGAATGAAGCTGAAGATCATTTCGCTGCACGTCACTCACATCGCTGGCAGGAAGCGCAAAGCTGTTGACTCCGCTTGATCCCATGCCGTATGATTCCTCATCCTTTACTCCTCCACCTAGCGCCAGACCGGCCTCGGCATGTGAGGGCGAAAAGTTGGAGAGGCAGGCCTCCATCTTGAAATGTTCTGCGCCAAACAGATGGTAAGAGTCGAGTGCTCGATCGATGCGCTTCTCGGTTCGATGCTATTGTGTTTCAAAGTGCGCTTGGATTGTGTGAGGTGATGCAGACGCGAGTGTGGGAGAGATGTCGTAGAGTTGGGGCACAGCATATGCTCGAGAGGTGGTCGTCGCCATGCAGTCAAAAGTGTAAGCGATCTCGTCCTAGGAAACCGCAATGTCCACCGAACGCGCGTCCCCAAGGCAACGCGCTCATGACGCACAACGCACGGGCCGAGCACGAGTCACGTGAGTGAGGCCACCCAAGCAGGTCACGTGATGTGTCTCTGACACCTCAATTTTTGGCGTCTTGTGGTGCATGCAACCTCTTCGCAAAGACGAGCAGGCAAAGGTAGCGAGCGGATAAAAGACGAGTTGGTGCCTAGGATCAGACACGACCTCGACGCAGAGCGACGACGACGATGACGACGACGACGTGGATGTGGGCGTGAAGGAGTCACAAGAGTAGCTTCACCCGATCTCCACCCCCTGAGTGTCCTTGCAGGCAAAATGCTCACCATCGCGCCATCCAGCTCGAGGGGCGTCATCCGCATCGTGTGCCGTTGCCCATGTGCAGAGCAAGCAGGACGACCGAGGAGCCTCTCGTTGGTCGCTCATAGACGATGCCGCCGATCTGATGACTACGCAAAGACACAGGAGCAAAGGTGGTCGAGCATGAATGCCAAGCGAAGGGTGTCGACCAGCGCTGCGAAAAGGGGAGAGGAGGAGGAGATGCAAGAGTCTAGTCGCACCAAGGCGCAGCAGCAGGGCCAGCTTGCGAACAGCCACAGAACAAGGTTGTACCCGACATCGCGCTTCAAACCTTCCTCCAGCAACTCTATTCCCCTCTTTAGCGCGAGCGGTCAAGATGAGGCATCGTTTGCATCATCAAGCACTACGTCCTCCAACTCCGTACACTGGGCCAATGTTCGACGCCAAGACAAGGAGCGCGCTGCAGCACGTCGAGAGGACAGCGGCGGCGGCAAGGGTGGCAGCAAGGGTGCAAGCGCCCACGTAGAAGCGGGGCAGACGGGCGAAGGGGCCTACGCAACGCAAGAGCTCAAGATTCTGGCCTCGGACCTGCACAAGCATTCCAACAATCGAGCATGGACCATGATGTTCAAGACTGCAGAAGAGATGAGGAGACGCGCAAAAGCTTTGCAGCAGCAGGGGCAGCAGCAGATTGCTGATGGTGGCGGTGGAGGAGGCGATGCGGTAGCTGTGCAGTCATCGGCACCCAAACCACCACTTCAAGTCTTCTTGCACCTCATGAGGCAGGTCCCATTTCATGTGGCTCTTGCAGTGCACGACGATATGCGGAGCTACTATCCAGCTTCTATAAGGAGCTTGACCATGCTGCTCATCGCCGCCATCAATCATCAGGCGGGTGAGCGTGAGGTGCGAGGGGTATTGGATAGATTTGCACAGATAGGAGATCGAGAGGGCGCAATGCAGTACGAGGATGAAAGGGAGACAGCAGCTTCCTCGATTCGCCCATTGCTTTCGAGGTGGTACACTCGTCATTGGACACCGGGCGTCTATACCATCCTCTTGACCCATAGCATACACATCGCCAATCTGGAACTGATGCTCAGCATTCTTGGGGCTTTGCCAGCAGCCTTTCAAAGGACGGTCCTGACACCAAAGACGCAATCCAGCATCCTCTTCTTGATTTGCAATCACGAGCTACCACGCTTGGCTAGCGAGCTCGCAAAGTGGTTCTTTGCCATCACGGGAAGAAAAGCAGACGACGCGGGACTCTTTAGGGTGCTGAGGTGTTCTGCCAGACACGGTTGGGTGAGTCGATGGTCCAAGAATATGCGCTTTTTCTCCCTGCTGAACTTTCTTCTCTGACTCTTCTGCACCAGTATCCTGGCGTCCAGTGGACGTACCAGAGGCTTGTCACGGAGGGCAGGCACGGATTGGAAGGCGGCCTGGTGCAGCAGGTGATGTCCACATGTGCTCGAGCGGGAGACGTGACTGTCATCGAGACGGTCATCAACGAGCATCAGCACGAAGGCAAGCTTTCCCTTCCAGCAGAAAGGCACAAACTACTCGAGACCATCAGCGAGAATCATCTTCTTTGGTTGTTCCTCGCTCATTCCCATGCTGCCATCCGAGAGCAGGTGGATGTCGGCGATGATTCGTTGGACCAACGAAATGCGCCCAAAGCGACGTACGACTTTCACGCTGCTTTTGCCACGTTGGCTCGATTCAATTACCTCTCGTATGCTGGACCAAAGCCGGTCGAGCTACTTGCGCTCATCAAGCTCATCTCTACGCCCGAAGCGTGGGCGCAAGCCCACTCCGCATGGATTGAGCAGGGTCGAGCTCAAGTGAGGGAAGGCGATTGCGGAGGAAGCACCACTGCTGGACTCTTTGTGCTGATCGAGAGCGCTAGGAGGCTGCGAATGTATCAGGAAGCTTGGAGCGTTTATCACGAGCGACGACATGTACGAAGAGCGCGAGGTCGATTTGTTGGTGCTTCTGCGCTCGATGCTGCTGCTGCTGCGCAGGACGACGCCACTCAGACGGGGAGCAACACGCGTACGCAGCTCGATGAGAGCGCACAGACGAGCAGTTCGAGCAAATTTTACGCTCTGCCCCCTGCCATTCCTCAAGAAGGTGCGGGACAAGATTGGCCACCGATCCACGCCGAGGTGGAGCACGTTCGGTCTCAAATGCACGTCTCTGCCGATCTAGCATGCTATCACTCCCTCTTGGATCTGTGCATAGATACGCGAGATGCGGATCTAGGAAGAAGCTTGTTGAGGGACATGTCGTGTCAAAGACCTCTTATACGCGGTGACGAGGCCACGTATCAGAGAATGATCAGCCTGGTTACGACTAGGATAGATGATGCTGCGATCGACGAAGCGTTGGATTGGTTAGAAGAGGCGAAAGCGAGAGGTCTTACACCCACCCCTCAGAGCTACAGGCTCGTTTGGAAGAGGTGCTGGAGGAGCGGGGACGATCGCGCAAACGACGTGAAAAAGGAATGGGAAGAGGTGCATGCTCTGCAAAATGTCCAAGAGCTCCAACAGACTCGAGAGATACACTTGTAGATTCGGCGGGCGGGCCGGACGCTGCTCGGCATTCTATCCCTTCCTTCTCAAGAGTGGTCCTACTCGCAACCAATGTCAACGACGTGGGGCACATCGCAATGCAATTCCCCGATTCGCGCTCTGCTTCGTTCCTGTGATCGAGTTGTCGGCTGGCAAATACAGATTTGTCCACGGTGCTGGTTTGGCAAGCAGGGGGTGCTTTGTCAAAGCCTCGCTTCCACAAGGGTCGCCCTCGCTATGGGCCAATGTATCCCTTGGCTACATGACCGAGCGCGAGCGCACCACGCCCCAGAGCTCGCGAGGCTAAGCAGCCTCTTCACGCCCGAGGCAACTCGCTCCTCTCTGCTCTTCCCGTCGCAGGATAATAAGTGGTCCATCCAAAGCTGCTTCCTCTAAAGCTAGAAGGATTGAAAACGTGACAACCTTCGTATGTCAATTCGTACCTATCAAACTTGTCGGCCAAGACGAGCTGAATGGCGCAAGCCGAGGAAGAGGGCGGGACAGCCCCAAAAGAAAGAGAGAGAGAGAGAGAGAGAGAGAGAGAGAGAGAGAGAGAGAGAGAGAGAGAGAGAGAGAGAGAGAGAGAGAGAGAGAGAGAGAGAGAGAGA